GGCGGATTTGGAGTCTTTCCCAACTCTGGGCTTCCAGATGGAGGTGTAAGGATTCCTTCCTGGAACTTCCCAACAGCCTCCAATCTTCTTTCTGGGCTCTTTTGCCTCTCCCTGAACGGTCCTGGGCCATGTTAAAGGCTTTTGTGAAAACTAAGCCACTGACTGGCGTCTCTGCTCCCCACCCGTGGCATCACCTCCTACAAGGCATGGGATTTCTAGAATGGGGTCTGGCCACCCTCATACTCCTGCAGAGAGTGAAGACATTTTCAGAGGAAACTCTGATACAACTCCATAGGGTCCCTAGTGTTATCCTCATCCCTTTATACTCAGATGGTTCGGCTTTAATTCCTGGCTGGTGAATTAGATTTTTGTGATTTTGCAGGTCTGCTCAGGAACTAGACTAGTCAGTAGCTTTACATGGGAATGATAAAGCAGATGCAGACCCCATCCTACCAGTTTGCCTTTTAGCCTCCCACAGGCTCTGCAACAAGAGGAGTGATAATTTAAAAAAAAAAAAAAAAAAAGCTTTCATTCAGAGAACAACAACAAAAACCCCATCACTGGTTTTCTAAAGAATCTCAGAAGAAAGATGAAGCTTTCTGCTTCTGCAAAGATTTATAGCTTCTGTAAACCCTAGACAGGGTCACTATGAGTCAACTTATTCAATGACACTTTGCGTTCTAAAGAATATAATAGGTAAAAAAATTTTATAAATGTGTGGCTGAGAAAGTTTTAAAGACATTCAAGTTCTATCAAGGTTATCTGGGGCTAATACCGAGGGAAAACCCACTGATACATGAAAATAAAGACCTGAAACCTAAGTGTTTCTGAAAAAATACTTCACAGAAGGAGATGGATGTTGCAGAACGTAGGAAAAATGGGCTTTGAAGAACAAGAATTTCCAGTGTTTAGCATTGTCTTTGAAAGTGTGAAACCCCAAATCTGAACTATTATACATCAGGTAGTTTTCTTTTGATACAGATTCACTCAGTAAATGTTTATTAAATGGCTGTTGTGTTCCATGCCCTCTACCAATTTCTGAGCATTCAAAGATGACCAAGATAAGGCTCCTGTCCCTAAAGAGCTGATTTAATAGGAGACAAACTGAAAAAAAGTATTCCTACTGCTCTGGTAGAGTATGTATATGGCCCATGTACTCCCCATTTGCAAGAATCCAAAGGTTAAAGTTATTGTTTCTATCTAATGTTGGTGTGGCACTGTAGGATCAACACTGAACTGTGGACCACAAGGTCGGTAGTTCAAACCCACCAGTTACTCCTGAGAAACTCTATACAGGCTTGCTAAGAGTCGGAATTGACTCGATGGCACTTAACAACAATAGCAATCTAGGTATGGGCTAATCATTTATAGTAATTGACAGAGATAGGTAGAAAGAGGAAGAATAGGCAGGGTTGAAGAAGAGACAGAATAGCAGGGAGGATGTGGTTAGGAATTGATGAGGAAGTGAATTATGGTGTGGCACGTTTGGTTGGCATAAGACAAATACTTCATATAGCATTAACCATGTCAAGAATTGTGACTTTGAATGTGGTGACAAACCTGATGCTTCTTCATACAACAAATCCTGCAGAGTTGGCAGCCTTCTTATTCGGATCTCAGCATCTCTGCCATCTACCATAGTAACATAGTCTAGCAATTAATAAATTCCTACAAGTCATTTCCAGTATCAGTACATGTTTTAGAAGTTCAATGAAGGAAGTCAAAGGTATTAGACATAGTACTGGACACAAATAAATGGTAGCTGCACCACAAAGGAAAGGTAGAAAAAAACTTGCTGCAGCCCAAACAGGCAATTTGGTAGTGGCTTAATGGTTCTTTAAAGTGCATAGAACCCTTTTTAGCCTGTGGATTTCCATTTCTAATTCTTCTTTAGAGGTCTCTATTTTATAACATCATTTTCCTTTAGTAAAACTATTTTGTATAAGTTAAGCATTATTCAAAGCCTGTTATTTGGAGAAAACACGACTGGTCACATGAAGAATATAGCACTTATTATATCATTCTTCTGCCTTACATCCTTTTAGCTGGCTAAATCCTAATCATCCCTCATGTCCCAGCTGAGGCCTTACTTTCTATGGAGAGCTATGCTTAACTGGACTACCCTTGGGTGCTACTACTGTGAATTCCCCAGGGCCCCTATACTTCCTACATAATAGCACTTATCATATTGTTTTACAGTCTTTTGTTTGCTTATCTCCTCTAGCAGATTGTCAGATTCTTAAGGACAGGAAGAAATACTAATCTTGATAATGTGCCTGGATTATTAAAGGCTGTCAGTAAGTATCTGTTGAATGAATATACTTTTAAAACCTACAAAAATAGAACACCAGATCAGCATTAAGTTTGTAGCATTTGGACTTATCTGACCAGTTGAGACATCTATCTGGCCATTTTCATTTGAAAACATAAATATAAAGGGAATACAGTGCAATAAAGTACTCAGAGTCTGGCTGATGTGAAAAGAAAACTTTTGTAGAAAAGGTGAATATTAAGCTATTCAAACTTTGAATAAAGTTGAGGCACAGCAGTCAAATGAAAAGAGAGGAGTAGAAAGGCTTCATGCAAATCAGTTTGGTGGAATTCTAATACTTATCATTTATTTATCTAATAACTACATGAAGATTAGGTTGAATTTTGAATTCGAGGTTAAAGATTTCAGATGGGATATAAATATATACTTCAGGTATACATATCACATGACATAAGTGGTATTTGAATATGATTATTTTTACAAGTTGGCAGGGTTTGACCTAAATTGGAGATAAACTCTGGATGATACCCACAATCAGATGAGGCCTTTTGTATAAGTGGGATAGGATGTGACCAAAGCATATAAACCTTTCTCCTAGTACTTCTCTGCTGGCTTGTCAGGTCTGAAATTCTTGCCACAGAAGTCACTCTTGTGGTTTAAATTACGGCCTGAGCAGACCCTTGCTGTTGTTGTTAAATGCCTTTGAGTCATTTCTGACTCATAGTGACTCTGTGTAGGGTTTCCAAGGAGCAGCTTGTGGGTTTGAACCACTGACTTCGTGGTTCAAACCGACCTTGTGGTCCAGTGCTTTACCCCACAGCACCACACCAGGACTTGCAAGAATATGTTAATAAGTGATGGTAACATACAACACAATGGTAGCTCTGGCTCCCAAATCTGATCTTTGGTTCCTCCTAGGAATGCAAGAGATTTCTCAGCCCATTTAGTTAGGTGTGACCATCACCTATGGAATGTAAGAGGAGAGATTTGCCAATTTCTATATCACTTCCTTATGGACTTCTGGTACAGTGTTGCAGGATAAGTACTGGACTGCTAACCACAAAGTCAGCAGTTCAAATCTACTAGCGCTCCTTGGAAACTCTATATGGGATCTCTATAAATTGGAACCAACTCCATAGCACTTAACAACCTATCACTTCCTTGAGCCCTGATGTGACACTGTAGGATAAGCAATGAACTGCTAACTGCAAGGTTGGCAGTTCAAAGTCATCAGCTTCTCTTGGAAACCTCAGAAGGGATCGCTATGAATTGACATACAACAACATATAACTTCCTTAAATAAATTTTGCTTGTCTTGGACTTTGTCTTTTCCTTCCTTCTGAGGTCTAGAAAGGACACATGGTGGAACTAAACTTTAACCAATTATCTAAGCTAAGGCAGAACACAGTCTCATGATAGAAAGTCATGGGTCTCTGGATGAACTCATGAGTAGAATTACCCCAACACCAGCAACCAGGCAGCCAGTTTCATCAGAAAAAAATCAATTTTTATTTTCTCTTATGCAGCATATATTTTGTCTCTTAATTAAAGTATGTTACTTTTATCCAGGGAGTACTGGTGTGGCACTGCAGGATAATGTGCTGGACTGCAAGGTCTATTTGAAGTGCAAGTTCAGCAGTTCAAACCCACCAGCCACTCCTCAGAAACCCTACATAGGGTCACTATGGGTTGAAAACGACTTGTCAGCACTTAACAACACTTTTGCCCTAATTAATATAATGTGACCATGACATAAATTTGAAAATTAACTATCTCTCATCAAGTCCTGGTGTGGCACTGTAGGATAAGCACTTGACCACAAGGTCAATTTGAGCCACAAGGTTGGTGGTTCAAACTCATGAGCCACCCCTCAGAAACCCTATATAGGGTCACTATGAGTTGGAATTGACTCAATTGCACTTCACAACAACATCTAAGGAATAGGAAGGCCCTTGCAACATGTGTCACAAGGGTAATAATGAACAGGGTTAGATTAGGGAAGGTGGACTCAGATGGGCCACTGAAATGGAGGGCTCAATTAGAGAACAGGACAAGGTCTTTTATAAAGAAGGTCTTTTTGACATCTAGATCAGGGAAAGAGAAAAAAAGCCAAGGTTATTGCTTGTGTACTTTAAAAATTTGGTAGAGATTAATCAGATAAAATAATTCTCATAGTTATAAGGAGCTCTGGTAGCGTAGTGGTTATGAAACGGGCTGCGAACCTCAAGGTTAGCAGTTCGAAACTACCAGCTGTTATGTAGGAGAAAGATGAGGCTTTCTGCTCCTGCAAAGATTTACAGCCCCAGAAACCCTGTACAGGGTCGCTATGAGTGGGAACCTACTCCACTGTATGCAGCCACCACCAGCCGCCATAGTTATATAGAAACAGAGAAGAGAGAAAATAGCAAGGCAAAAGTAGGAATTGATGAGGGGCTGCCTTATGGTGTGTGTTTTTTTTGAAACAGAAAAAAAGAAAGAGGAGCCCAAAAAAGTTCAAGGGATGAGCGTCAAAGTGACTGTGAATCATGAAGCTATGACAGTAAGTGTAAGTCAGGACAAGCTGTTGGCGGATACTGAACTCGTTCTTTTACATGTTCATTTTAAATTGTGACAGTACAGCAAAGTAGAAATGTCTCTATACAAAGAAAGATATATGATGGAGTGTTTGAAAAAAAAAAAAGTTAAGTTGAGAAATCAGAATTGGAGATATAGAATATTACTACCATTGTAAAGAAAAAGCCACACTGTGGTTCTACTGCATTTTAAGCATAAACAGGACATATTTCAACTTCCATCTTGATAAAAGTAGACTCCCGTAGCAGTTTTCTAATTATTATATTCGGCATTCTCTCTGTTCCCCTCTAAACTTGTACAGAACTTTTTCCTTGAACTTCTTCATTTTTATTTTGATCCTCTGCTTTCTGGAGAAGCCTAGGGCCCAGCAAACCAATAAGCAGACTTCCAATTGGTGCTGTAATGAGGATGGCTAAAAATGCCACTGTCAACACATCCATTCCATATTCTTCGAGCTGTTTTTCTCCATGTGATCTTGCTGTGTCCAAAGCTACAGATCCTATTGCAGCCTAGAAAAGTTTAAGGGTAAAGGAGGAAATATGGTACAAAAAACACATATAAAAAAGGAGAATTAACCATTTGCAAAACAAAAACAAAAACTATTTGCTTGTTCTTTTGTTCAACAAAAGAAAGTTCTATTTAGCCTTCTTTCAAAGTACACTGCATTTGGTTTTGATTATCTGAAAACTCTCTGCCGTTGCATAACAGACTGATGATTCACAGGCACCAATTTGTATAAGTTAGTTATTATTATTGCCTGCTGTCATAAATATCAGGCAAGTGAATCTCACAACACTAAGCAGATATAGACTCACAATATCAATTACAATATCACATGAAGTTCTGCATATATTAAATTTCTCTTGAGTAAAGATGAAAGTAACTGGTTGCCTCGTTCATTTTATCTTTAGAAGTTTGTTATTAAGAAGAAAAAAAAGTAGAGGAAAACTGCAATGATACTTATTGGAAGATGGTGAAGTTTTAAGCTTGGGCAAAAAATTTAAGAGCATATATTGCTTTAGAGACTAAGCTAATTGTTAAACATTAGAAAACATGAAAGTGATAGGTACCTTAAGTGATGTGAATTTAAACTTCATTGTTGTTGTTGAGTTGTTCTGACTCATAACAACCCTGTATATGGTTTCTGAGGCTTTAAATCTTCACTGGAGCAGAAAGCCTCATCTTTCTCCCTCAGAGTGACCAGCAGGCTTAAACCAGAGACCTTGTGATTCCCAGTCCAGTGTTTATCGAAATAGACATTTGCTAACTTTTGCCTCAGGAGTTGGTGGAATGTTTATTTAGAATTTATCTAAGTATTATGAAAATTCTGATTTCCTTTTAGAGATAAATTACAGTATGGGGATTATAAATTCACATGGGGAAAATGTATCAATTGGCTGGTTATCCCTTTATCCCTTAGAGCACAGCAAAGCCTCTAAGACAATGAAATAGATAAGAACATATCAAGTGCATCAGACACAAAGACAGAGACTATTAGTTGTTCTTAATATGTGAATGTCCCTTTTCTATAATAGAACTCTTGAGTTTTCCCTGGTCATAGAGCTGTCCAAGTAGCAACTTTCCCCCCAGGTCTCCCTTGCAATTAGATGTAGCTCTGTATCTAAATTCTGGCCACCTAGATGTGAGCAGAAATGATAAGTACAATTTGTAGATTGTGCCTGGAAAGGAATGGATGGACATGCATGTCCCTTATCTTCTCCTTTCCCTCTTCCCACTAGACTGGAAATTATAAGTTGTAATTGTCACCTTGGACCCACAAATGGAAGGCATATGCTGAGTGAGGATGGCAATCATTCTGCCAGCTCTGAAATGTCCATGCTGAACTACTGGTGAGAGAGAATAAAAAGCTTATTTAACATTTGAGGGTTCTTTGTTACTGCAAAGGACCTCTGGTGGTGCAGGGGGTGTTGGGTTGCTAACTACACGTTAGCAGTTTGAATCCACCAGTCACTCTGTGGGAGAAAGAGGAAATTTTCTGCTCCTGTAAAGCTTTATATATCCTTGGAAACACTACACAGGGTCATTATAAGTCATAATCAACTCAATGGTGGTGGGTCGGGTTTGTTATTGCAACTTCCCCTGTACCCCAATTCTACATTTCATCGATTCTTGGCAAGAACTGTGCACACTGCAAGATATGAGTGGGCTTCAAAAAGTTTGTGGAAAAATGGAATGAAGATAATAGATGTTTTTTCACAAACATTCTGAAGCCCCTTCATATATTTTCAGTTCTCTCTGTAGGTGTATGTTTTGGAATTTGTGTATTGGGTGATGTTATGAATTTAATTATGCCCCCTCCCACCACCAATATGTGTTATAAATCCTAACTCAGCCCTTGGTTATAATCCCATTTAGGAATGGGTGTTCTTTGTTATGTTAATGAGGAAGTATTTATATAAATTGTGTTTTAAATTGATCTCTTTTGAGCTATATAAAAGAGCAGATGAAACAGGCAAGCAAGTATAATTGAAAGACAGCAGATTTTATGCCACATGAAATTTCCAAGAAACAAAAAACAGATGCTGAAAAGACAAGGAATATTCCCCCACAGCTAACAGAAAGAAAAAGTCTTCCTCTAGAGCCAGAACCTTGAATTTGGACTTCTAATCTCCAAAACAGTGAGCAAATAATTTTCTGTTTGTTGAAGTCACTCATTTGTGGTATTTTTCTTTTAGCAGCACTCAATAAATAAGGAAGCTGAGTTGAGATGTAAAATGTATTTCTTATATTAAGCCACAGTCAAAAAAGTTTGAAAAACACTGATAGGGAAAAATATAAGAATGTCTTGTTTCTTTTGCAATGGCAAAAGTAATTGCAAGTACAATACTTGCTTTCACAGAACAAACATTATCAAAACATTCTGGATTGTTTTTTCTTATTTTATAATTTGCCTGCATGGTGACAAAGTGCCATTTTCAAATTTTAACATTTTATAACAAATTGTTCATACCAAAGCTACTAGGATCACTGATATCTAACCTAAAGTTCTCAGAAGTCATGTGAAAAGTTAGAAATAAGCTGAGGTAAAAAGGATTTCCTTTACTGTACTATTTTGACCTAACAATGATCTTAACTATTATGTCTCAGACATCTTTGAAACACTGATGGCAAAAAGAGAAACTTCCTTGGAATAATGCCCATACCCACATCCAAACAAAATCTGACATATAATTACAGGGCATATGAGGGGGCTTCAAAAAATCTTTGGAAAAATGGAATTGAATGATAACAGAATTTTTTGACAAATTTTTTTGAAGCCCCCTCATAGATATTTTACAAAGTCTCCTAAATTAAGAACAACTAAGTTTTGGTGGTGGTGGTGATGTGCCATGGAGTAGGTTCTGACTCATAGCAACCCTGTACAAGGTTTCTGAGGCTGTAAATCTTTATGGGAGCAGAAAGCCTCATCTTTCTCCCATGGAACAGCTGGTAGGTTCAAACTGCTGAGCTTGAGGTTCACAACCTGATTCATAACCACTAAGCGACTAAGTTTTAGCTGCATAAAAATAGAAATCTGTATATTTAAATATGGGATGAAAACAGTTAAATCTTGTTTGCTGCAGTTAATCTTAAAATGTACAATACAATGCAATAAAAAATATATTACATTTGTTGAAAATCATAGTCTATATGGTTCTAATTTAATTAGCAATTATAGGTATCCTGCAGGAGAAAGATAAGGTTTTCTGCTCCCGCAAAGATGTACGTCTCAGAAACCATAAACAGGGTTGCTATGACTCAGAACCCTTAACAACTGCCCTTAACAACAATCTAGGATTTCTACCAAATGCATGGCCAACAATTTCAAGAACCTATCTGTAAGTGCTTTCATAATCACTGTTGTTAAGTGCATTGATTCAGTTCCGACTCATAATGACTGGGTATACAGTTTCTGAAGAGCTGCTGGTGGGTTTGAACTGCCAACCTTACAGTTTGTAGTCCAGTGCTTATCCTACAGCACCACACCAGGACTCAAAGTCATTAGAATTCACAAATTTCAAGTTGAGTGAATGCAACATTTGGCAGGCGGTTGGCTGGCTGGCTCTGTGCCCTTGAGTTGGTTCTGACTCATAGCAATCCCATAAAGGATTTCCAAGGTTGTAAATCTTCATGTGATCAGAAAGACTCATTGTTTTTCCCTTAGAGTGCCTGGTGGTTTTGAACTGCTGACTTCGCAGTTAGCAGCCTAATGAGTGACCCATTATGACATCAGCGCTCTTTTGGCAGGAAGTTATACTTGTTTAAATAATTTAAAATCAAATAATAATCTAGAAAATCAATAAAGCCTTTTCTGAGCTCTTTTAAATAAATCTTTCCTCCCTTATGTATAAAAATTGACCCAGCAGCATTGATCAATAACCATGTTGACAATGAAACATTTTCAACCAACAAGATGGCTCATGTTATTTTTTGTTTCACTCTCTTCTTGTCTGGATTCTGAAATGAAAAGAGGTAACAGCTATCTTGCTGTGTTATTTAGAGAGATATGGCTGGTAAAAATTCAAATCTTTCCCTTCTGTTACTACTGCTTTTTAGTAGTGTAGGGATTTATTAGATTTTTATTTGTACCCAGTGATCTAAAAAATAATGATTTAACATATTTAATAAGGAATGAATAGACCCTTCTGTCACATAATGGCCATCTCTGGAATTGTTGTACTGTGTTTATAAAAGCTAGTTTGAACCCTTTTCCATTTAATGACTGAGTTAAAACAAAAAATGAATAATTAATAAACTAAAGATAAAACTTTTAAAGAGTAGGTTAATATTATTTTCATAAATTTCACTTTAATCACTTAATGTTAACCAAGCTTGAACAAATTTATTCAATATTTCAGTGTATCAAATAAATAGCAGTTAAAATGTTAAACCATTTTATTCATCGTTACCTGGACTGTAGCCTTGGGAAGCCATGCAAAAGAAATAAAAAATTTTTCTTTTATGTTAAAACCAGCGAAACACACCATCAGAAATGTTGTCAAAATTCGTATCAATACTGCAATGCCCAGGATGGCAACACAAAGGCCTGTAAAAAAACAACTTAATTTTTGTAATAATAAAACACTGGAAGAGGAATTTCAATTCATAGTTACTGATTTGAGATACAGTCATTTCACTTAACTTCCATGATACATTCTGTGAACTAGAATGGTATATGATTTGGGCATTGTGTGACACCATAGTATACACAGACAACCTAGATTATGAACAAATTCAGTTCCTAAATCTGTCTTAAAATCAAATTTATATGGAAGTCACAACAGTTAGGTATGGTTTGTATCTAATGCCAGTTAGTCAAATGTTTGCTGGTATATCATATATCCTCCTATGAATAAAAAATATAAACATTTCATATAAATATTATAACATAATAATACAGTAATCATCATACTCATCATCATAATGTTTTGATGCATGTTGCAAAACAGTGCCCATATTATGTTATGTACCTTGAATTTATAATATAAAATGCTTTACAGAGATTGGGACCAAGGATATATGTGGTTAGACATGGTCTAAATGGATGTTGTTGTTGTTAAGTGCCATCGAGTCGGTTCCGACCCATAGCGACCCTGTACAGGGTTTCCGAGGGTGTAAATCCTTACGGGAGTAGAAAGCCTCATCGTTCTCCCGCGGAGCGGCTGGTAGTTTCGAACCGCTGACCTTAAGGTTCGCAGCCCGATTCGTAACCACTACGCTACCAGAGCTATTAACTGTATTATCAACAGAAAAATTAGAGAACACTAAAGTACTTAAAATACAAAATTGGTTAGGCATAATTTATCAAAAAAATCAATATTAAGGGTAAATCAGACCATTTATTTAAAATAAGATACTTTTCTACATTAAAACTAGAAATTAATAAAAACATATTTGAAGTCCTGGTGTGGCACTGCAGGCTAATGTGCTGGATTGCAAGGTCGGTTTGAATCATAAAGTCACGCTAACCAACTGCTTCTTGGAAACCCTATACAGGGTCGCTATGAGTTGGAACCAACTAGATGGCACTTAACAACAGCAACAACATTTGAATTTCTACAAAGGAGAGCTGAATGTTATATCTCTGGTGCTTTCTAACAAGAGCCACACTTTCTTCCTTCAGTTTACTTAACAAGAATTTAAGTGATAACTATGCTTGAGGAAGACCCCCAACAAGATGGATTGGCCAAGTGGCAGCATCGATGGACTCAAGCGTAGCAACAGTAGTGAGGTTGGCCCAGGATCGGGCAGTGTTTCGTTCTGCTGTGTATAAGGTCACTATGAGTTGGTACTGACTCGATGGCACCTAACAATAACAACATGCTTGACAGGTTTTGAATTAGGCACTGGGTACACAAAGATGTACACCTTTATGAGCATCAAAGTCAGAGGAAGAAAAAAACAATATACAGAATGAATTCACATACAATGTGGTAAGCACAGTATAAACAAACCAGTAAAATGGTGTAAAAGAAAGAAAAATTGACATTTTCATCAGGGGGGTTTAGAATTATTTATAGAGTATATGAGACCAGAGGTGATATTCAAAATATTTATCAGTCAATCCGAACGGAGCTGGCTGTGTAATGATCAATGAGAACGAATACTGGCAGTACACAACTGTTTCACCATATTGGTGTACTGTTGTTATGTGCCGTGGAGTTGGTTCCAATTCATAGCGACCCTGTACAGGGTTTTCGAGGCTGTAAATCTGTTGTTGTTATTGTTATGTGCTGTGAGTCAATTCTGACCCATAGCGACCCTGTATAGGGTTTCCAAAGAGCAGCTGGTAAGCTTGAACCACTGACCTTGCAGTTCAAACGGCTTTGCAGTCTGGCACCCTAACCCACAGCGCCACAAGCTGGTAGTTTTGAACGGCTAACCCTTAGGATAGCAGCCTGATTTGTAACCAGATTTGTACCAGAGCTCCTTATATTGGTGTATACTCACAGCATATTAGGCTGGAATGGCCAAACTATTGTAGTCAGGTGCTGTCAGAGTCAGTTTTGATGCACAGTGACCCTATGTACAATATTACGAGACACTGTCTAGTCCTGTGCCATCCTCACAATTATTGTTATGTTTGAGTCCAATGTTGCAGGCACTGTGTTCATCCATTTTGTTGGAAGTCTTCCTCTTTTTCACTGGCCTTCTATTTTGCTAAGCTTGATGTCCTTTTTCAGGTACTGGTCCCTCCTGATAGCATGCCCATTGTACATGAAACAATGTCTCTCTAGGCTAATTTTTTTTTTTTAATTGTGAATTGAGTGATAGTTTACATGGGAGAACATCAGTTTTACACTCATCCTATTGTATTTCCTTTCATTGCAATGATTACAATCCCTTCCATGAATCACCATTCAACAGTATTTGCTTCTATTCCCTCTGTCCCTCTGTTTTGTTTTGTTTTGGATGTACACCAAAACACTCAGGAATATACAATCATTCAAACAACCAAAGGGTATAACCTGCAAGCCTGCTTCCTGGCTGCCAGCACACAGCCCCTCTCCCTCCATGAGTCTGGAGTCTTCAACCACTCCATCTCTCCACGTCATCATCTCTGCCTCCATCTCTGGCATTGCCGTTTCTCTGAATAGGGTCCCACACTCCATTCTCGCTCTTCTCCCTTGATGGTCTCAGAGTCCTCAGCTCCTGGCTGTAAGATCAACTACTCCTCTCTCTTTGCTATAAAACCTTTACCTTTACAGTTGTGACAATCACAATCAGTCATGATAATAATAACTCACTACTGACTCATAAGAGTCTTATCCACATCTCCTTTCACAACCCTTGTCTAGACAGGATGAAAACCACTCAGTGGAGATTCTACCTTCCCCTGCACACTCTGAAACTAAACTCCCTCTTGAAAACTTGGTGCTTTTGTTGTCCCCCCATTTTAGGTAGCCAATGTCTAAGTTGCCCATCCCTATCAACCCTGTGTACACAGGGAATGGGAATGATCCTTGCTGTGAAGATTCCTTCCCTCTTGGTTGGTATTTTAAGCTACTATATCCATAAGTAAAGGTCAAGTTCATCAAATTGTAGCAATTTATGTTTGTTTTATCAAAAATATTTTTCTTTTCTTTTCTTCTTCTAGTGGAGTTCAGCCATTGAAGCTAAGTCAAATGGGTACTATCTGCAAGTATGGGAGTTCTTGTACATCTCCCCTCACTTTATAACAACTGAATGCTTCACTCTCAGCTCTGGCCCTCTATGGCTATATCCTTGTCCATGGGCTCAGGAATCCCTAGGTCTCACCATCCTTCTGGCCAACCAGGTCTCACCATACTCCAAGTTGATGGGAGTCTATGTAACGTGGTTGGACTCAGCCCACATCTTCATTGCTGCTTTTCCCCTACGTCCATTCATCAGTAGGCCAACATGGTTGCAATCAAGAATACATGCCTGCTCATGTATTACCTTTAAGTATCAGTCTTGGAAGGGGCGGGGTCTCTATCCTCACTTTTTAAAAAAATGTTTTATTGTGAATTATGTGATAGTTTACATGGGTGAACATTAGCTTTATGTTCAACTTATCATATATTATTTCATTGTCATGGTTACAATCCCCTCCATGCATCATCAACCAACCAAAGGTTATACCCTGCAAGCCTGCCCCCTGGTCATCAGCACACAGACCCTCTCCCTCTCTGGGTCTAA